CAGCAAATCACTGAACCGACAGGTTAACCATTCGAACTGGTAACCAGATCCCTGATCGGTTCGATCACCGATTCGTTTTTAAAAACCATTGTATCCACAATTCCACACAAAGCCAAAATAGGGGTGCAAATGGATCGGATTATGATCCGATCCGATCCTATTTGGTCGGGATTCGGATTAGCATTGTTCGGATCTTCGGGTCGGATTTGRATCACCCTTATCCGATCCGAAAGATCAAACCCGATGTATTATATATTTATAAATAAATATATATATATATAATACGCATATGTTTTTTATTTATTTATAAATATATTTTTATAAGTTTGTTATGTTATTTATTTTTTTTACAAAAATGTTATTTATTTATAAATATATTTTATTTTTATAAAATAAAAATGCCAGGTACCATCTAAGCAAAAATGTTATGTTATTTATAAATATATATAATACACATATGTTATTTATTTATAAATATATTTTTATTTATTTATTTATTTATTTATTTATATGATGAAAATAATTAAAAATATTTGTATTTTTTGTTTTTACTTTATTTAAATTAGTATATTTTATTTTTCTTTTAATACTTTATTAATTTTAAAGAAAACAAGTCAGATTGGATCAGATCCGAAAATCTGACGTGCCAATAAGATTCGAACTCAAATCGAGTCATATCAAATCTGATCGGGTTTTCGGATCGGATCCGGCATGAAAAGTGTCAAATCAGATTCAAATATACACTAATTCAAATCTAATCCGGTCTATTTGCATCCCTAGCTAAAAATAAATTATTTAAAATATAATAGCACAAATACATAGTTTTACTAGAACGAGCATAAAGCATATCAGCCTAGTGGGCTGGGGTGGAACTGCCTAGGACCAAGCCAGGGCCGCTCTTAGCACAAGCCCATGATCATGCGAGTTGTATTTTGAATTTTAGATCATTTACTAGAACACCCCCTATTGTTTCACAAATTTACTTAAACCTATTCTATAGTTTTTATTTTACWAAAGCACCCCTTTGCAACCTATTTATTTAATGGACCTTTTATTAAGAAGTATTTATTTGCCATCTGAAAATTGTAGCATGATCACCTAAACTAAAGCGACAGCGTTCAAGGACATGGGCCCATGATTGTTTATTTCAAAATTACCCCTAACACTTCTTCATACAGAAAATAAATTTGACCAAATAGAGCCAAATAGAGTGTTTGCTCTATTTTTACTAAGAGTAAAAATAATAATTTCATTTTTATTTTCTTTTGATTAAATTTATTCAAATGAACATTAAAGTCAAAATTGTCATTTTCCACTGTTATCTAATGAAATATCAGTTAAATAAATGGATTGCAAACCATAGCGGTGTTTTAGTAAAAATGCAAACTATAGGCTAGATTTAAAAAAAAAATCTATGAAACTATAGGAGTATTTTAATAAACTACAAACTATAAGCTAGATTTAAATCTATGAAAGTATAGGGGTGGTTTAGTAAATGATCCTTTGATTTAGATGGTACCTGGCATTAAAATTGTCGATTGCATTTTACCAATAATACTGTGTGCTCGCTGCTGACAGCTCATAGCGACTCCAGATCTGCTAGATACAAGATGTGTACAACCAGCTATGCAGCTGTAATGAGATCTGTGTAGCGTGTAGTCCGTATATGTCTTATTTCTAGCAGAACATATGAGCATAACTGCACCCTCCTCTTTCTTTGAATGCCCTTGATTGATGTCATATTGTCATATTGATTTTGATCGTTATCCCCATTAGCTCATTCTCTATAATGATCCGACGAAAATCACCATAAACCCTAACCTCAGCCAGAATCAACCCCCAAAACATGAAGGCGCACAGACAGGAAAAAGGGAAATAAAAATCCTCGGTTTATTAGATTGAAGTTCATATCCATAGTTTGCTTGTTCATGTTTTGGGACTGATGCAAATGCAACCAACCAGTATAAGACGTAAAACATTTATCCAAGTAACCTTAAAAAATAACCGCTTGTTCAATCTGGCTGAAATTTTATTTCCCATGGAAGGCAGATATATCATGCAGTGCATAAAATAATTCTAAGGCAACCGATAATGAAATTTGCAGACACCATGCATAAAAAGGACATCTAGGACCAGGAAAGATTGTTTGTTACTCTGCTGAAAGAATTGAGAACTCAGAACTCAGAAGGCTCAGCCACCAAAAGAATTTTGGTTCTCAAAGAATTATATAGAATACACCAGAGTTATCAAATGAGAGTGTGAGACAGGATGGCTTAATTTGAATGTCACAACAATGACAATATATCTACCGCAGTCGGCAGTTCCCTGCAAAAACCTAGGTAGATACCAGACAACTTTGACAACAAAAGCAGGCAACCAAGATGCCAAGTAGAGCTCCAGCAAGAACCTGTGATGGGGTGTGACCAAGGAGTTCCTTAAGCTTTCTTTGACTGATAGGATGCCCTTGAAACAAGTCCTGAATGATCATATTAAGAACCTGCCAGAATAATTGTCTTTTGAGTAATAGGACCCATGGTAGCAGAATTATGAATTTGGGGAACTAAAATCATGTTGGCCCAACATAGCACAAATACATCCCATGCAAGCATGAAGTTGGGAATTCAGAAACACATGCCTGGGATCATTTAACCAAACATAATTTTTAGCCCCAATGTCTTCAGGGGACAGAACCATCAGATAGAAGCCTCTAACAGTCATGACTCATGACCATGCTATTAGTGGATCTATCTAATGGTCATCCTGAGCTTCCTCACAGGTAGACCTGTTCATGAGACGGGTAGCCCGATGGGCCAGCCTGGCCCAGCCCGATCTAAGCGGGCTTGGACAAGATTTCAGGCCCGCAGGCTCGGGTTCAGGCCTAAAATATCGGGTCTGACTTTTTTTCGAGTCGGGCTCGGGCTTTCTCAAAAAAGCCCGGCCCAAGCCCGAGCCTGACGTGATAATGTATTATATTAATAAAATTATATTTTATATAATAAAAAAGCATATATATATAACCAGGCTTTCTCAAAACAGCTTTTAATTGAATTAAAAAGGAAATAATCTTTTTTTCTAAATCTCTAACCGGGCTCGGGTTAGGGCCCGGTCTTCGGGCTTTATATTAGTGCCAGGATCGGGCTCAAGACCTAGGCCCGATGGTCAGGTCGGGCTCGGGCTTGGGCCTGAACATATTCTGTTAATGTAAAGGCAAAGCCCGGCCCAGCCCAGACCGGCCCGTGAACAGGTCTACTCACAGGTAAAAATTTCATTAAAAGTGAACTATTTATAAAGCTTTTTTGAAATGACAAAAAGGGAAAGATTTGTATATCTTATGAAATACTAAGTTCTTCAGCAGCTTGTTTCTGCAAAACTTCTAGTTTCTGAATAGGAAGTTCTCACTTATTGAGAGCAGCCACTTTGTGAAAAAAAATGCCAGAGGTTTCATTTATTGAAATCTTGAAATGTACATACTACTAATGTACCTATGTCCATTTGGTCACAACAGTATCAGACAGCACAAATTTGGGCATTACTTTAGGATTTGAGGCTAATTTTTCTTTGGACTTCCATAGATTGGAGGGAGGGACCTCCCAAGTGATCATTTGGCGGATGAGGGACGAAAGAAGGGTTCTTGGTTGTTGTGTCATTACATTAGGGAAGCTAGGTCTTCGGTGGCTTAGGGGAACTCTCATTCAATTTTCCAATCAGATCAGCTAACTTTCTAGCAGACAGTTTTTGAGAGTCAATCTTATATCTATACAAGGATAAGTGTAGGGGGGCGAAAGGCCTCTCACCACAAGCTGTGCATGGAGTCTCCTTTCTCTCCTCCACACTTGAAGAAGTAAAAATAGAGAATTTACTAAAATGTCTCCTCATAAAATCCCTCTTAATTTTCTCTATTAAAATCTATCATTACTTTCTCTGATAAAATTACTCTCAAATCTCTCTCTCTCTCCCCTTTCCTCTCTTCAATACTCAATGTTTGTAACATCCCCCCTCCCCCATTAAATCCCCCTATTTCCTCTTAAATTTCTTCAAACCCCCTTTGATTATTCCATAGCATGACTAGGGAAGGATCATTTTGTTCTATACTAGTACTTCGTGTGGTTGGTTGGGTAGGGACCTTATCTCCAAGGCTTGGGAGGGGGCCTTCAGGTACTGTGTCTTTAGTATATTTTATTCTCATTGCATGTACAGCTCCCATTTTGACTGGATTTAATTAAATCTCAAAATAACTGATCCTAAAAGAGTCAGAAAGTAGTACTGAGGAATTTCCATACAGCCACTGCACAAGGTTGGTCCCAGCTATCCAGGACTGGATAGACCTAAACTTTGGCATGTTTTTATACACATTGACCTCTCTCAGACTTGAACCCACATTGTCACACTTGTCAGCCTGACTGCCTGAGAATTTACCATGGAACCAAGAAATGTCCTCCTGCATATAGGACTATACAAGTTAGCAGGAGATTAACAAGAGAATAAAACATCTGTTACAGCCCACCCCATGAAATCCTTATGAACAAAGTCTTCCTTTACTGTTCAGCATAAAATCACTATCAGCATAGGTGTGCTCAAAAACTCGAGAATTTCATTCCTCTCATGTTAGGCCAAAAAACAGATATGGGAAGCAACCTCCATACCCCTACTACTGACACCACTGATCTTCCAGCTCCAAAGAAAAGCTCAGATAGAATGAAGAAAACAGCTAACCTATCCAAAGGTATTCAGAAGAACATTCCAAATTTTGATAGTATTCGGGCAGTGCAGGAAGAAATGGTTGGCAGTTTCCAACTCTTTAGAACAAAAGACACACCCCTGCTGCTCCTAAGGCATTCCCCTATGCAATAATTTATCCAAGGTTAAACATTTTTTTCATAACTGCAGTCCAAAAAAAAATCTTTATTTTAGATGGGGTTCCACTATGTCAGTTTTTCTTTTTTTTTTTTTTTTGAAAAGAGATAAGGTAAATTTTATTTATGAAGAAAAGATAATCATACAAGAATGGGGGAAACCACAGGCCAGCTCACCCCCAAAGGATATGATCATAGCTCCCACAACTAACTGAGCTAAGCATCACAATGGTCTTCATTACAAAGACTTCTATAGAAGGATTTTACTGTAAACCTGTCATTATTCTTCCACAACCATCTACACAATTCCAACAGCTGATCAACCTCCCAATTGTTCAGACTTCTCCTGAAAATGTAGGATATGTCTTTTTGATACCTTTCCATATGGATGTATCATACAAATGCACAATCGAGTCCTTGACCATCTTCCCAATCCAGCTCTCTAGCACCAAACTTTGCTTTAATTACTCTTCTCTACAAGCTGGCAGGCACCATTTCCCAAGCAAGGCAACATTCAACTTCTTTAAGTTTCTGAATCCCAACCCCCCTTCATTGACTTCCAGCACCTGTTCCATTCTACAAGATGAAATTTAAACTCTTCCCTCCATCTTCCCTACAAAAAAACATAAAGGAAATAAATCATTTTTTTTCTCCAGAGCCTTTGCCACACCCGATGGAATAGGGAATCATGAAAAATAATAAGTGGGCAGGGCTGCCAACACACTCTTAATGAGCAGCAACTTCCCCCCTTTGGATAGATATCTTGTTGTCCAAGATGCCAATTTTCTCTCCACTCTTTCAATTATTCCATCCCAATAGAGGAATCATAGTCACTAAACACTTAATCCATTAGACTCTTCAAAGATAGTAAAGAAATGACAAATTTCATGTCTCATTACAGATATGTTATGGTGTTATCCATCCATTCTGCATGGTGTCACTCCAGCCTTGAGTTCCTGAAATGACAAGATTCATCTCCCCTGGCAATCAAAATACTACAACCTAGCATTGCATGACAACAGATACAAGAGTTGGAATCCAACATGTGTGCAAGAGTCTGACACGTCAAGCCAAGAAAACATATACTCATGAACACATCTATAGGGGACTATATACTATTAAAATAGTTCATATTTTTAAATTTCTAATATTATATACCCACAAAAAAGGGGTCTAAAATGTTGCCTTTTGCCTTCTTACTAAGTAATATTTTATAGGAAAAAAGGCATTCATCTTGTAAATTAGCTGTTTGTTTAGGTCAAGTAAGCCAGGAGAAGAAAAGGAAATGTTATGAAGAAGTGTCCCACAAGAATCTATTGAGTATTGGAATATAATGTGTGTCTAATCTGGACAGGTTGTCCATTTAGGAAAGTCCATGAAAAGCTGACAACTGCACCTATATGGGTCCCATACTTTAACCTTATTAGTACCCATGTAGGCTTATTGATAGATATTGAAGATGCTAATGAGCAAAAAAGGTTAAGCGGCAGTTCATGAAACTTCTATGATAGATTTGAAGCACTGCAAGATGCCAGTTATGAATTTCATTGAAACTATATAAACTTCTTTAGTCCCTGTAGGTGTTCAAGACTGCTATCAGTCTTGATCACTAAGAAACTTCAGGTTCGAAAAGAAGAGAAAGTGAAGAAGAAAGAGGAGAAAGAGTAGTGAGAGAGTAGTAGAACACAGGCTTTGAAAGGAAGGACAAAATCTCAATATTCTGCCGCCGCCACTTCAATTTAATATTTATATGTTATGCTAGTTACATGAAAGGACACATCT